CTATAAGCATGATATCTACAATCTGATATATGCAATGCTAATTCAAGTTCAGATTTTTTTTAAACTATCCGAATTACATAAGTAACTCTCATCTATGTATAGAAAAAATTAGGACATATGCACAACATATGAATTATAAGAAAACTATCTGCCTCTTCATATGTATGGTTCAATATATTTACATATTTGTAAGAAAATGAGATGCATTTGAATCATGACCGAGCAAATTATAATTATAAGAAAATGGTAGCTATTAATCAATTTTGACCCCGCTAATTGGCACTAAAAATTCAGGCATATAAAATCACTCGCCAAATTCCGATATTCAAAAAAAACATGTCCACAATAAATAAATAAAAATTGACATTATACAAGCTTGACTGTGGAGACTTATACTGATTGAGTATATACGGAGTATATCCTACGGGCGGTAAAACAAAATTAAATTACTATAGATAGCTTGCTTTTGCTCGTCAAATTATAGCTTGTCAATTTTTTTAGGTAGATTCTATGGTACCGTACCATACATTTGTCCACATAGACCAATGTCAATGCTACAGTTGAATTATTTAAATTTAAATTAAAAATGATATAATGATTTGGACCGATCAAGTGATTGATAGTTAGGATATCCCAATTTTTAAATGGGTACGGGAGTTGTCACTGTTTTTATTAATTAACAAATGAGCAAAAATCATATATGTGGTTAAAATCTATTTTATGAATTTTGTTTACAATTGGATTGAGATTTAGCAGATCTATGTAAATTGGAGTAAAATCCAAAACATACCTGGAAACCTCCTCTGGTTTATACTCGATAGACGACTCTAGCTAAATAGCTGGTTTTATCATTGGAAACCTGGGACTGCTTGTTTATTGGTTTACTTGATCCGTTGGGGCATCATATGTGGTGGTGACCGCGATCGCAGATCGGCGGAGAGTAGTCTAAGATAACGGATGCGCAGGAAAAAAAAGGTTCTTGCAGAGTGCAATGGCGGCAAGTGTTTCTCGCGGTGCCATTGGGATGAAAAAGAAGTGAGCAGCACATAGAAAATCGTGCAAAAGGAGAGAAAGAAAAGTCGTTTTAGCAAATCGGGCTGATAACGTATTACGAATGAACCCAAAAGCTATCAACTTCATTAACACATACCACATATATAGAGGGGATGAAATTAGGGTTACAGGATAATCGGGCCGGATCCTAAGAATACATATGGGCAAGGAGAGTAATGGACATCCACATAGTATAACAAATTGAGCTTAAAGTTCACAATTCTTTTCACTTGGTATATCATCTGATTGAGTTGACTTTAGTATTACCGGTTGCAACAGCCATCGTTGAAAGAGCCTTCTCCGCGATGAATATTATCAAGACAGATCTTCGCAGTAAGATGAGAGATGATTATCTTACAGACTGTTTGGTGTGCTACATCGAGAGAGATGTTTTTAGAAGTGTTGATAATGAAACTATTATGCAACATTTTCAGAATATGAAAACTCCATATAATTTATGCTATTGCCATACTTTTTACCATCTTTATTACATTTGATATTTTTATTATAAAGTAAGTTTAGTGTCTAGTATACCCCGCTCTGACAAATTTCTGGGTCCGCCACTGCATGCAACAAGTGATCAATTATGAAATGGCGTTCAATCAAGATATAACTCATTTAAGAGTTCATGCATAGTCTTTTTATTAAGCATTATAGTGGAGGTTTATACAATTTAATTACACCATGATTGTCGCGTATTTATTGATCGCCCCACGCTTCTTCCTCAACTTAGGTAATAACAATGTCACGTTGTTTTCAATTACCATTATTTTACACAATGTTTTCATTTTTAAATATATTGCGAAACTGATTATACAATCTTCTGTATCTGAAAAACACATCTAAGCGGAACATCAATTACACACACTCGGATAAATATCACGACATGACTCCAAGCCAAAAATGAAATTTTCATAACTAGCTCATATAACAAAGACAAATGCACGATATCTTCAATATAATATATTTTGGAGTATAATATGTTAGTACTATAAATCACACATATGGGTATAAAGGTATTAAATTATTAATGATGTAATATTATGCATTTACGTTACGCCGGCAAAGTCACACGCTCATTTTTTTTTTGCTATAAACATGTTATTGTATGTTGTTGATAAACATGTTTTTGTATCTCCATTGACGAGATTTTATATTGTCTTGTAATCATATAGTATACTTATACCTTCTTTGAAATTTGATTCGTCACTCCCTACAAAAGAAGGGTGAAAACACAATTTAAAGAAGATGTTTTCTTGGATAACTCATAACCAAACATATAAATTATATTAATTTAATTAAGAAGGCTAGGCATTATCTTTCGATTTATTTTTCTAGGAGTAATTGCTTTTTCAGCTATCATTTATAATCTTAGAACAACATTGCTTGAATAACTCGTGATCGATTAAGGTGCCCAAGAATAGTCTCTTGTTGAATGTTACTTTTCTGTCCATTTTTTCTTCAAAAAGATCTTAGAGTATAAGAGTATTGAAACACATAGGGAAGTTTGTAATTTTTTGCGACTGATAGTTTTTCTGAAGCATGTGCACCCACACAAAAGGAATTAAAAAAACATGTAAACAAATGAGAATGATATAATATTAATATTAATCTGTAACATTTGTGAGCTAGGTTTAAGGATCTATTCAACACACATACTTCAATGAGTTCCAAATTTTGAAATCATGGTTTCTTTGCATATACGAGAGAACATTCCGCTTCCATTGCCATTGTCATGAATCACCAATGGACTTCTATGTGTATATATACTTTTTAGTTCCACAATTTGTAGCACATCATTGATTAATCTTCTTCTACACATAACTTGAGACAATTCTCTCTCTACTCAATCCATAAACATTTTCTCTCTCTTCTTTCTTCACTTCTCATCCTCAAATCATCAACTAATATTCAATTCATCTACAACTAATCACTTCCTTATTCAAGATTAGCAACAAAGTTTCAAGGATTGTCATTTATCACAAGTTTGATCTTCGTTATCTCTTTAAATTTTGTGCTTTAATTATGAATTCATGTTTTTCTAAACTTCTCAACATGTACAGCTAAATAAAATTAGGGCTAGAAATGGGTTAATTGTCTTATATATCATGCTTAACTTTGAATTGATAAGTTGATTGATCTATTTGGATTGGTGTGTCCACGGTAAAAAACATAGATTATTGCGTTTACGATATATATTATGAGTACTCAATCATAAGCATATTGTTTGTTGAGTACATAAATGTACAATTTTTCGTGTGAAACGGGCTATGTAAGGACGTCTAAAAACATGTACATGAAACATTGTTAGCTTGATAATTACATTGTCAAGGGAGTGAATTTAAAAGTTGAGTATTTGATAAAAAACGATCAATAAAACTAAGAGCTCGTTTGGTGGTCATGTTTTTCTGCTTATTAGGCTTATCAGCCATCTTTTTCATTAAACACGTAACTTTTGATTTAGCGCGGTGAATTGTATAATAATAATATGTCGGAGTTAGTTTTCTGGTTGTACTGGTTGAAGTTATTGCAGAAGATCATTTTAGCTATTTTTCATATAACTATTTCTTTATTTTATTAATAAAAACTAATTTAAATATAATTTTTTCATAAATCAACAAAATCAAACGATCTAACCAACTTCAATGTTAGGGTGTTACCAAACGAGCCGTAAGAGTGTGAAAATAAAATTGAAAAAATGACCCGGATATAACTAATGGACTTTTGATTTCCAAAATATATGACTCTTTTCAAATTTTTCAAAAAACTGACCCTCTCCATTACCTACGTTATACACACCTGCCTTCCCCTCTTTATTCTGCGCAAGGCATCAACGCCAGGGCTGCCATGGACGCAAGCCACGAAGCTCCAACGTCAGACACATTCTCTATGCTGCCACTGCTCCAGCCGTCGTTGCTTCGTCGACGGTAATACCTCCATCCTCTGCTTCATCGACGACGGCAGACATAGGGAGCTGAGCTTGGCCGACAACGACGGCAGACATAGGGAGATTCATCACTTCCCGCCGCTGCTTCCTTTCATCATCTTCTTCTTCTATTTCTTGTTGCTCCCAAATGATTTGACTATCTTTCTGCAACTGAGATTGGGATTAGGAGAGCGGGATTAGGGTTTGGTTTTTGTTATTAGGAATTAGGAGGAGTGTATTGCAATTGAAATTGTTGGCTATGGGTGAAATTTGCGATTGAGATTGTTGGTTGTACATGGAGGAAGTTGTTGAAGGCGAGTGGATGGAGTTTGCGACTCAGATTGATGGCGGTGGATGAAGTTGTTGAAGGTGGGGTTGGGGTTGCGATGAGAGGGGTTGTGGAAGGCTGGGTGCGGTGGCTGAGGGCAGGGAAGGGCGGCGAGTGCTGGGGAGGGGGGTTTGGAATCTGGGGCAGGAGGAGGGTGGTTGCCATAGAGGGGCAGGGGCAGATTGGTCATTGATGGGGGCGGTTGGTCACTATAAGCCGGCGGCGGGTCACCGACGGTACTTGCCGGAGGTAATGTAGGCGGCGACCCGATGTTGGTTGTGGCGGCAGTGCCTGGGCGGCGGACGGCGGAAAATATTGTCACTGTAAATTTGTTTGAGAATCAGGTCACTGTAAAAGCCGGTGGACAGTCACTGAGACCGGTGGCGGTGGGCAGGCAGTCACTGAGGCCAGTGGACGGTGAGCGGCAATCACTGGATGGGGCGGCAATAGTCACTGGATGGGGCGGCGACGGAGTCAATGTGGCGACGGAGTCACTATGGCGGCGGGTCACTGTGACGGCAGGTCACTTTAACTAAAGTCACTTTGCATCATAGGGTTAATTGTGATGTTAGATCACATTTTTGGAATTTTGAAAAAGATGTCCATTTTTATCTTTTGTATTTTTTAGTAATATCTAGACCAAAATACCAATAAAATTTACCCAGTGGGCTTTAGATAGCATGCCCTACTGGGGCCAACAAATCGGGTTACAAACCGAATTACAGCCGCATCCTGAATAGTGTATAGGATAATAGGACACAAGGAAAGCAAATTAGTGCGGCAGGGCGGGGGAGAAAAAGCGGGGAAGTTATCCGGAAGTAAAAGCCAGTCCCCCTTCCAGTTCCCCTTCCAGTTCCAAGCTCTCTGAATCTCATCAAGATCTAGCCAGAATGGGTGCCGGATTTCAATGCAAAGCCGACGAGGATGGGGGTGAAAGTCTCACGGAAAGCTATGCTGCTCCGGTGGTTGTGGGTCTGCAGCCGTCAGCTCTGGTGGATCACATAGCTACGGTCGATTTGTCTCTTCTCTCCCTAATCCCCGGAGAGATTGGAGGCTCCTTCCCTGTACATTCCTCTCTCTTTCTCTACTGAATTTGCTGACTTCCTTAGGCTCTGTTTGTGCCCTGGCAGACTTCCATGAGGCCCACTCCGTTTTTGGCCGAAATATAATTCAACTTTTCATATTTTTTCGGCCATTAGTTCGAAGTAGAACCCATTGATTTTAATAATTTGATCACGTCAAAAGTTCAAATTTACCAAATATAGAGACAAGAAACTTTTTTTATTGGATTTGATCTAACTGTTGAGATTACTTTATACTAAAGACTTGAATTTTCCACGTAATTTAATGATTAAATTTAATAGATGATGCTTAGAGAGAATAATCTTAACTGTTAAGTTATATTTTTGCCCAAAACAGTGTCTGGTGAATAATGGAATTCAGTAATTTTAATTAAGATGGCATAATTTATTTATTAATTTTATATGTCGGCCCTACATGTATCATAAAGATGCCACCTTCCTACACCCGCCTATCATGCTATGATTCCCAATTTCATGTTGTGGTCCTGTTTTTTTTCATTACGGATTCTTAAGGGGATAATTTGAGTTTGACCCCATTTTATCGTCTAAATTGGATTTTCCACATCGTTTTTAAAAATCTTTGTATTTACATCCAACCCCGTATGAAAAGACAAAAATGCCCCTCGATCAGGAATATGTTGAAGGCCAATAGAATTGTTAATGGAGGGGCTTTTTTGTCTTTTGATACCGGGCTGGGGGTGCAAATACACCGATTTTTAAAAAAGGGGTGTGAAGTTCAATTTGGACAATAATATGGGGTTCAAACTCAAATTACCCCATTATAGAATTATGTACTCGCTTTTTAAAAGAATGATGATTTGGATTGTTCCCCAGATATTAAGAAATTACTTGTATTATTTAAAAATATAGATAAAATATAATTAGTTCCCCATATTTTTCTATTTAAAGTATGAAAATGTGAGAACTTGTACTAAATCAGTTGAGCGAAACCAGGTAAAATAAAAAATAATAATAAATGATGTTTAGGAAGGGAATGTTAAATCACAAATAATTTAGGGAAAGATTGAAAAGAAAATTATTTAAAGAAGGGAGAAGTAATTATTTGTATGAGGTCTTATAAATCTTGCACCTATATTTTATTGTGTAATCATACTTAAACCTACTCACTAAGAATATGTAATTCAAAGATTTAATTTATTGGATCGCTTGTATTAGTTTTTGTATTGCTACGTCAAAAATTTGCATTTGTAGTTGAGATATTCGTCAAAGAATTTTGGTATATAGATACATTGTTTTGGTTTGTTGAGATTGCTGATATGAATAATTATTTAATACATACTTCAGTATCAACTTAATTAAAATTAATTAATTTTAATATTTTTATTTTTAAAATATCAATTCAACATGTTTTTGACAGTTTTTTCTTTGCTTCCAATATAGATGTTATCATTTTTTGGAGTATCCATCTAAACCTACTATAATATCTGCTCATTATAATGCTAACATCTTTGATTGGGATGGGATCATCAGTGATGCCATGAGACCACAAGATACTTGGCGAGATATTATCATTAAATATAAACTTCCAACAGCACAATCATATTTACTTTATTAAACAAGTATTAAATTTGGTAAGTGTTTTGCATCTTACATTTCTAGTTTAGCATTGCTTAGCATTCCCCCACAGGAGAGGATCTATGTTAGGGCTACAGTGTCTGAATCCCAGGGCAATGTAATTTTTTTCAATCTTTTTAGTGTTCATTTTTCATATTTAGCTCATCCCGTTAATGTTTAAGCCTAGTATAATTACTTTTCACTGCAGTCCAAATTCCTGGATCCGCCCCTACCCCACTACATAAAAAAGAGAATTATAATAGACACATGCAATAAATATCAATACTGAAAGAGCGTGCATTAATTGTACATGATTAAAAGTTAAAAGTCTTACACTATAACGGTGTTTTTGTCTTAAAGGTGAAACGGTTATGTAGTACTGCGTATAGCACAACTTAGAATTGCATGTGAAACTTAGAGATGGACATAAGCTCAGGGCATTAACCTTTCTTTACAAACATACGTTTCTTATAAGCTCAGGGCATCTTCAGAGCCCATCCTGAGAAAAGTCATTTGTAAGTCTTAACGCTCATAATTTGTGCAAATGACTTTCAAGGCTCATTAATTTCATTATCATTATTATTATGATTTCCTTGTATAGGTGATACTGCACATGTATTCTTAGAGTATCTTCAACAGTTAGCTAGTTGTCAGTGTGGTTTGATTTGCCACATCAACATTTTCAGCAAAATTATTTTCAAAATAAAAGGTACTTCAGTTTCCTATGTATATTATTAATGATATTATAATTTATAATTCCCTTCCCTCAAAGCTAGTAGCTCTTTTGGCTATTTTGTTTCCTCAATTAAAAAGAAAAGCAATCCTCCAATAGTTAACAATTTGCTGTAATATTGCAAGAAAGTTCTCCAAATCAACCATTAGAGATGCTCTTATTACTGTCATGAAAATGAGTCAAGCTTCAGATTCTTTTGTTTCAAATATAGTCATATTTGATTAAGCAAACTAGTTTTTCATTTTTATTTCCAAACAAAATGTAGGATTGCATGACTTTTTCTGGGAGTCAGGGAGTAAAATCTGCCCGGTAAACAGTTTAAAAATCCTATTGGTAAATAATCTATTTTGCTGTCTTGAATGTTTTCACTCTTTGGTTTATTTATACAGTTATTATTAAATACAAGTTATCCTCTTCAGCCTATACAGTGACCTATTTATAAAATCTGATTATTTGTTCCTTGAGATTGGTAGTTTTGTCATTCATTACTCTTTGGCGTGGTAGGCTACATTGAATTTGAGAATAAGGGTGTTGAAATGAGTTTAGTATTGCCATTCTGTTTGATTACGTGGGTATTTTATGCTCTAATTCAAATTTTGTGCATTACTTGTTTCAACTAAAGGTTGAAACTGAAGAGCTGAAACATATTCTGAACAAGATTAATGCATATATCCTTCCAACCCCAGAAAATATGTCCCCTTTGAAGACGATAGCTGGAGGAAGTGTAGCAAACACGATCAGGGGGTTGGCTGCTGGGTTTGGGGTTCACTGTGGAATAATCGGCGCATATGGAAATGATCAACAAGGAATGTTATTCTCAAATAATATGAGCTCTTACCAAGTGGATATCTCTAGATTGAGGCAAAAGAATGGACACACAGCTCAGGTGAACATTATCATATTTTTGCTTGTTGAGACTTGGTGTCATGGCTTAACATGCTTTATAAAGTTTGTTCCATCTCTTAAAACTTATGCTTATTTAAGGTGTACATAGATAAGATTCGAGGTTCTATCATAAAAGATCAACCTTGAGAACTGCATAGGAAAAGGAGGCCAACATCGTATTACGTATATGTTCAATTGTATTGTACTATCATTACATCTGTTTGATGTGGGGTGATTTGACATAGCTAACTCCATATGATTAGCTTTGGGCACACAGCTCATTTGAACTTACATGCTCCATAAGATTGTGTCTCATCTCATACTCACATTGGAGTAGACTTGTTTTGAAATTTGTATGCTTGTTTGAGGTTCTCATAAGAAGAGTGCTCCAAAACTTTACATGTTGATATCATATATTTGGTCGATGTAGGATGTCATAACATAGCTAGTTCTAAATGATTGATTGATATAAAGGGCTAAACCAGTATAAGCTTTTCCCTGTGACAGTGTGTTTGTATGGTTGATGAATATGGCAATCGTACAATGCGTCCCTGTCTTTCAAGTGCTGTGAAAGTTCAGGTGCATGCCGTCTTAACCATCTTGTCAAATACAAGCAGTTCATGATTCTCAACAATTTTTCCTTGTGCAAATCTTGTTGTGCCCTCTTTAACAGGCTGATGAACTGAAGAGGGAGGATTTCAAAGGGTCAAAGGTAGTATATGTTCGCAAAATGAAAAGATATTATGTTTGCTTTTGGAAACAGTTGCTAGTCTGTTCAATCACTGATCTCATTTATTGTTACAGTGGTTAGTGCTAAGATATGCAATACAAAACTTAGATGTTATCAAGACAGCCATTCACATGGCCAAACAAGAAGGCCTCTGTGTCTCGCTTGATCTCGCCAGCTTTGAGGTAAGACATTGCTCAAACTCCTTGTTGTGGCCAGAGTGGTCCCACTGGTTGGATTAGGTTCAACAGCTGTTATCGTATAAATGTATAGCACTATAGCCAAATTAATGAATGAGTAAATATCATGTCACAGTCTAAGTGATATTTTTTCAATTTTTCTGCATATGAAGTGTATAAGAACACAGTCAATGGAATTAGTATGGCAAATTTCACCTATGCAGTTTGTCTGTTTATTGTAATTTTCAACCTGAACAGATGGTGAGGAAGTTTAGGTTGCCACTTATCGATTTATTAGAGTCTGGGAACATAGACCTTTGCTTTGCAAATGAGGACGAAGCAAAGCAGCTGCTAAGGTGATTGTCCTTTTCTTAAGCACCTTCCACAGGGTCTGTTTCCTAAGCTTTTACCGAATTATTGTTAGAGCTTTGATTTACTTAATTTTTCCCATGCAGCAGTGAAGAAGATATAAATCCTGAGGCAGCAATTGGATTTTTAGCGCAATACTGCCGGTGGGCGGTTATCACACTGGGCCAAAATGGGTGCATTGCAATACATGGAAAAGAGGTACCCCTCCGTCCCGAACCCCCGCCCCTCCCTCCTTCTCCAAACAAAAATCGTCATATTTGATTATATTTTTTTGCCCCAAGGTCCTTTGTGGAACAAAAGATGCCAAATTGCACACTTTTTGAATATGCTGTGAAAAAGTGACCCTTACAAGTTAAGTTTGCCAAGTATGCATTTGGTATTCTCAAATGGGCTGATAAGCCTGAAAGTTTTGTCAAAAGCCACATGGTTTGGCTGAATTTAATTTTCAGTCAAAACAATCATTCCAGCCCTTATACCCTTTTTGGCTGGTTTAGCTGATTTCAGCTAAAATCACAAATTTTCTTTCTGTTTGCCCAAATAAAAGTCACATTAATTCTGCCCATTGAGTCATTTCTTCTATTTCAGCAATCCCGTACAGGCTCTAAGTTTAGTTAAAGTGTTAAACCAACCAATAGGTAGTACTAGTAGTTAGCATGATGACTTTATAGTTGCAACAACAACAAAATCCAAGCCTTAGTCCCAAAAGATTTTGGGGTCGGTTAACATGAATCATACATGATATCAGAACTAAAAGGAGATGACTTTATATCTCAGTTGTAAAAATCTCTGCCTAAGCACCATAGTGCTTTAAAAAACAAGAATGGATTGCTTAATGCCTTTGTTATCAATCGTTCACTGATGATTGCGTATTTGAAAATCGCGGTGGGAGGATGAATAGGTGGCGCATGTTGGGGCAATAGGAGAGTCAAAGGCAAAGGATGCAACCGGGGCAGGAGACTTGTTTGCAAGTGGGTTTCTGTATGGACTGATAAAGGGTCTGTCACTCGAAGAGTGCTGTCGAGTCGGTTCATGCAGTGGTGGTTCGGTCGTAAGAGATCTTGGAGGTGAGGTCACTCCTTTAAACTGGCTGTGGATGTACAAGCAAATGATGTCCCATGGGCTTGCGGTGCCCTCTCTCAGCAGCACTTCTGAATCAGGAGTTTCATAATATTCTATTTTTTATTCATTCATATATTTTGCATATGGCTAGCTTTTTCTCTTCTTACCCCCACCCTCACACGCATTGCTTCCCTAAAAAAGGATTAGGTAAGAAAAGGGACAAAAACTGTTGGGTTTCTATGAATCTGCTTTAGTGTTTTTAATTATTTTTTGGAATCGAAATTTGAACCAAAATATGGTTTGCCATAAATTTGATTCTTTTGAGATTAAAGTGAACGGAATGATTTTTTTGAATTTTCTCGTCATAAAGCGACACAGTCCAATACAAGTAATGTTGTGGAGCATGTCTCCCATCAGGGGTGGAATAATCAAACCTAGAAAGGGATCATTCCAAGTTGTTTGACAGGTTCTTCAAGCGAGTACAAAAAAAGCCTGAATCTATTACGGAGAAAAAAATTGAACATCTATTAGGAGAGTAACAAGTTCTATAACCCTGTATGAACTTAGAGAATTTACTGATTTGTAGACTTGTAGTGATTGTTATTTGTTAATAACAGCTCGGCATTGTGCAGGCCTGGCCCGGTTGATTCAACAAGTGGGCTACGGGATCCAAAAATGGTGGACCGGCCTGACCCAGCCCAGGCTCGGGCTGGTATCAGGCCTGAATACGTTTGACCCAGAGCTCGGCCTGACCTGGGCCCGGTCCACCCCTATTCTGAACGGCTATTTGTAATGGTTATCTTCAAACATATTTTGTTTAGCGAAGGTGGGAAGTAGGCATGGATATGGTTCTGGTTGAGGCTGAGATGGTCTTTGCCAAAAGAGTGTCGGGAAATCGTCAATAGAATTAAATATCAACCTCGGCAATATGAAAAGGGTCAAATAGGTCCTTGTACCAATTCGGATTGCTCAATTTGCCCTCTCAACTCAAAAAAGCTCCAATTGGCATCCTGAACTCGATAAAAATATTCAAATTTCACTTTTTGCAAGTTTCAATTCGGTCACCGCCACGTCACCCCGGTAGGGTGTCAACTGTGCATGTGATGTGGCAACTTAGGGGGTCAAATAAGCCGCTGAACCTGATCGAATCGTTCAATTTACTCCCTCAACCCTAAAAAATGTCAAAAAATATTTAAGGGTTGAAGGGGTAAATTGAACATTTCAGTCAGGTTCAGGGGCTTATTTGACCCCCTAAGTTGTCATGCCACATGCACAGTTAGCACCCTACCGGGTGATGTGGCGGTGACCGGCTTGTGACCTGCAAAAAGTAAAATTTAAATCTTTTTATGGAGTTTAGGATGCCAATTGGAGCTATTTTGAGTTTGTGGGGCAAATTGAACAATCTTATTTGACCCTTTAGCCATATGAAAATAGTACATCGACTTCGTCAATGCAGTTTTTTAGTACATCACGTAAAGAGAAAACTATCACATAGACCCTCCTAGTCTCCTACTATACTCAAAATCGCAATCAAACCCTCTTACCTAAATATAAACCAATTAGGCACTCCAACTTAGAAAAAAACATCCAAAGCTACTTTTTAATATGTCACCAACAAGTTACCCGTTATGCACTTACGTCGCCTCCCACATGTCATTTTTTCCTTTTTGGTCAACAATTTCAGAGCACGCCTTCTTCATCAAGCATCTGCCAAAGATCTAGAACTCGCTTTCATCAAAAGAGTGCACCAAAGCTCCTCAAAGCACAACACTTTTTCAACTTCTAAGTGGTTTCGTGATTAGGAAAACGAACCGTGAAACCTCCACTTCAAAGGTCTCCGCCTCACAACCACCGTGACTTGACAATGTAATTCAACAAATTGTTTCCAGATGGATTCATGATTTCGAGGAGGCTAACGATTTAAAGGGACATGATCGGAGGAACACCAAGGATTCGAAGGAATTCATGAAGGAAGTTGGGAGGTCCATCGAAAACAATGACACCGCTCACCCTTCTTTCCCACGCAAATTATACCGTGGGATCGGTCCACCTTGCGCATGGTGTGCCGATCCCAAACGGTGTAGTTTTATTAATTAAAAATAAAACTAATCTTATTCCGTAAAGTGAAATCGGCTCTGTCCTCCGTCCAAACCCACCGCAAGCAGGAAGGATCGATCCAGAGCTGCCTGCTCCTATTCGTCGCTGGATTGCCTCAAGCTTTCTAAAAAGAGCAACACCGCCCTTCTAAACACCGCCCTTTTACTGGCACACAACTCAAAAAGGGACGGAAAGCTTCTTCCTGCAACTTGTCATACTTAATTATGAATCTTCCTTTGTTTATATATACTTCCTCCGTTTCTTAAAAGTTGCAACATTAGGATATTTGCACTATTCGCACACCTTACTTTGACCACAATTTTCTATTAATATATAAAATCAAATTATTATGTATAAAATGTCATTAAATTTCTATTGATGTGAATTTTCAAAATATTAACTTTTTATAATTTTTACTAATACGTAATTAGAAATAATTAAAGTCAAAGTTGTGTGTTGGCAAACGTGAAAGTCAAACTGTTGCAACTATTAAAGAACGGAGGAAGTATATATATATATATATATATATATATATATATATATATATATATATATATATATATATATATATATATATATATATATATATATATATATATATATATATATATATATATATATATATATATATATATTGAACAAGTTACATTTTGACTTGGCTCAAGTTACATTAAAAAATACTCGCGGTTACATTTTTGTGTGCGCGAGTTACACCATTCATGTGCGCGAGTTACATTTAGAGTTTGTCTATCAACTTTGCCCAACAAATTACATCTTCCTTACACGTGATTTACATTTTGCATAATACGAGTTACAACACAATAAGCCCATGTTATTCAAAGAAAAATCATTTTCATAAAAAATCGTTTTTATAGCACTGATATTAAAAACAAGATATATACACAATTTATGTTAAATAGTTGGACAATTAGACTCCTTTTTTTTCATTGAAATCAATTTTTTTATTTTTTATGTTATGTATTGAACTAGTTACATTTCGACTAGACTTGAGTTACATTCATCAATCACGTTAGTTACATTTCTTTACACGTGAGTTACACCATTCTGTTACTGGAACAAGAGAAAAAAAAGTTACTGTTCACGCATGTATTGTTCACGTGTGTACTGTTCACACGGTATAGGAACTGCTTTCCCCCGAGTTGTCTATAGCTTCAAAGACCACAGGGACATAAGGAAGTGAACGGATGGGTCAGGGATCTGTTCACAATTAGCCCAAAACCGGAGTTGGAAGCTGACTTCACCTGGTTACTGGACAATTCTTGGCAGGGCAACAAAATCAGAGTCAAAGATGACAGGCACGAAGGTGAAGAGCTGTTGCAGAAGAGAAGAAGAGTTTGAAGAGGGCGAAGAAGAATCGTCTTCCTCCTTCCGATGGTGTCCAAGGAGGCTTGTTTCCACAACAGCTTATGGTGATGGCGGGGGAGATCCAGGAGCAGCACATATGGTTAACATTGGCTGAGCTCAAGACTGATTTCCGGCGAGAATCTCTGGACGCTACGATGTTGGGTTTATTAAGGAGGAGAAGAACATCGAAGAATTGGCCAAGTCCATGGAAATTTACCAACCTACGTGTGCATTTAACATTGGTCACATAAGAGCATCTATAATGCTATAATGTGCATAGTGCACATGTGGCATGAGAGAATCTACAATGCTATAATGTGCATAATGTGCATAGGCACATGCTCTAAAAGGACTTAAATATTTGTGCCACATAGATCGCCATGTGTCCATTTAACTTGCAAACCGATGGTTTACCGGTTAATAATTCAATTTGAGCGTCTTTTAAAAGTTGGAGTGTCTAATTGGGTGATATTTAAGTACAAGGGCTTAATTGCTATTTTGAGTATAATAAAAAGGCTTATTTGATAGTTTTTCCTTACTTAAATTATAGGAAAAAATAATGAAAATACTTCAAACTTTGAAGGGGTGTGAAGTAAACACACCTCAAATTTTATATAAAAAGTAATTTTCATATCATTTTCATGTATATATCTTTCAGAGTTAATTGTGTAATTTAAAATAACAAATTAAAAGTGTTGCAATTATATAAATTGGGGGTAACATTATATTTCGCAATAGCAGTTTAGAATGTTAATTATGTTTTCATGAATTCTAACATTCATATTTTGATGTAAAGTTAAAATTTGGTTGATTATATTTTGTAACTTATTTCAGTCAAAGAATTTTAAAACAATAGAAAAAAGCATACCATGTACGGAGTATCATTTACTTGTTGATTTTAATTTGGGCCGTTAGATCATTTTCTTGTTAGACATACCAAATTATCTCACCCATTGCATTTACAATTTTTTAAATTAAGTTGCTGGTGTTGGTTGATGTCATGCTTACATCACCTGCAATATTATTGTGGTTGGGCACCTATGGGTGTAGCTCAATTGGTAGATAGGGGGTGTCACAATGGGTAATCCTCAGGTTCGAATTTCGGCAACTTCGATAAGATGATACTATGCTAAAATGCATAGAGCCTCTGCAAGTACATGGCCAGAGTCTCACTCTCTATCTGTCTGCTTGTGAATAAAATCCAATTTACATTCTCATATCTAACTGTTCGGTCGGTGTTGGGGATCATATATTCACGAGCCCACCGTCCAAGCTACTGCCCCATTTCTTTTGATTGCATTTTTTATTAAAAAGGACTGCATCCATCTCGGAAGGTCCTTCAACATTTAAACAAGTGATATTCTCACCCAATTGTCCATTTGAACTAAACTTATCTCGTATACGCCCCCCCTATTTACCGAATGAGTTACAGTGTTACACTCCCCAGAGTCCCCCATGATTGCATTTCTTTCCTCGTTGCAAACATGGATGTTGATTGGGGTGAAATACACTTTTGACATTGCGAAAATGAATTATATACCCCAAATTTTGTGGAGGTATAATCTCAACACTCCAAATCTGAATGTGCGATATTAATATTATGATTTTTTATAGGGAGAACTATCAAATAAGCTCTTGAACTTTCATAAAAAGTGCAAATAAGTCCTTTTATAGGTGGTTCTGTCCGGCCGTCGCCATTTGAGGCGGTTTCCGGTGGAATTATTTGATGATTTTTTTTGGGCATCTTCTTCATTAAGTCTAGTTTACTCATACCAAATTTCAGCTAAACATTCAATCGGGAAGGCGGACAAATGAATTTTTGAAGATAACGGCACGGTTAGGCAGCGCAGTATATTTCAGAAAATCATTTGACTGCCTT